CTTGAATAATATTATTTATGAATTATGATTCCTAAATAAGAGCCAACCCGGGATTCTCTCTGTTTTGCCCGAGTTGAAGTACGAGTTGCGCACGACTTGGACTCTTGAGTTCCTGGGACTCGACAAAAGCACCGATTTGTTTCTCGAGTAGGACTCAGTGAGTGAAGTAGTTATTGGTGTGCTGGATACCGGTGTTTGGCCAGAGAGTAAGAGCTTTATCGATACCGAACTTGGGCCGTTGCCCAGTAGCTGGAAATGTGAGTGCGAATCGGCTACCAATTTTGGTATTAGGAATTTTTCTAGTTCTTGTTTGTTAGTGGATGGGATGAAATGAAAGTTGTTATTTGGCTTGACTTGTCACTGAAGTTGCAAAAGGATTGTCTCGGAAGTGTTTGTAAACATGCTTCAATCAACAACTTGAATATCAAATTTATTTTTATTATATTAATCTAAACAATAAATTTAAAAATACATCTTTCAAATACAAATTCATGTTTCCAAATATAACCCATTTGTTTTTGGTTTAATAAAGGATATCAGTTCTGCCAAAGAAGCTTGGAACAAATTGGCTGAAATGCATCAACAATGGCAATCCCATTCCCTCCAACCAGCAACCAGTTCAGGTATTCCATCTCTTTCTCTTCAACCATTTAGTTATATCTTAACTACATATAAAATTATGGTTAAATATCAATTTTGGTCCTTAAACTTAAGATTTTTTACAATTTTCATCTCTTAACTTTTTTTTTTTACATTTTTTTAGTTCCTTAACTATGAAAAATGCATTTTTTTAGTCCTTCCATTAGTCAATTCGTTAAGTTTATCTGAATCTGTATATTTTTAATCTCTCAACTTCTAATATATACACATTTTTTATCCATAAACTTTTAAGTTAAAGGATTAAAAATGTACAGATTTAGATAGACTTAACGGATTAATTGACAGAAGATTAAAAAATTGTACTCTTCATAGTTAAAGGATAAAAAAAAGTGCAAAAAAGAGTTGAGTGATAAAAATTGTACGCAAAATCTTAAAGTTGAAGAACCAAAATTAACATTTAACCTAAAATTATTGTAATAACAAAATTCTTCATAAATTTTTTAAATAAATATTTATTGAACTTTAAAAATATCCTCAATAAATAACTAATAAGTTTTAAAAAAATTTAATAAATATTCAGTAGACTTTTTAAAAGATATTTATTAAATAGAAGTTTATATATAACATATATAATATTAAAATCTAACCTTAATAAGATTTAATTTATTATTAATTTTCTTCACACTTTCTTAGTATAGATTTGACTTTACCTTTATTTAATATCTTTCTAATTTTATAGCACTACGGAGTACAATTTATTTCTTATTTATATAGATGAGAAAAAAAAAGGAGCTGCCGACACCCTCACCATTTATTTCCTCGGTGGCCTTTTGTTTCTTTTTGTAAAGGAGAAATTAGAGTGTTGGTTCTCAATGTTCTAAAATTTTTGTACCTTAGTCCTTAGATTTCATAATTCTACAATTTGATCCTCAGTCTCACCAATTTATTCATCCTTTAACTTTGTGAATCATGGTGATTTAGTTTCAAATTTATGATTTTAAGAAGTCTATCCTACACAAATAATGGGAATAATGTAAAATCAAATAAAATCATATTAAATCTATTCAAATATTAATAAAATCAGAGATAAATTAGCATTATATTATGTACAAGAAATCAACCCATCAACTCATCAAGTAATATAGGAAAAGTTGGTACATTTTTGTATTGAAGTTTTGTTAAAACTTTTGTTAGGCTGTCAAGACTAGATTTTTCATATCAAAAAGAGAAAAAAAAATAGAAAAATGGAACCAAAAGGAGGATTTTGATACAATGGTTGAAGACAACTTCTGAAAGAATACTGCAGACTTTAAGAAGTCTATCCTACACAAATAATGGGAATAATGTAAAATCAAATAAAATCATATTAAATATATTCAAATATTAATAAAATCAGAGATAAATTAGCATTATATTATGTACAAGAAATCAACCCATCAACTCATCAAGTATTATAAGAAAAGTTGGTACATTTTTGTATTGAAGTTTTGTTAAAACTTTTGTTAGGCTGTTAAGACTAGATTTTTCATATCAAAAATAGAAAAAAATAGAAAAATGGAACTAAAAGGAGGATTTTGATACAATGGTTGAAGACAACTTCTGAAAGAATACTGCAATCCTTAAGGTATATATAGAGGTAAGTGAAAAGGAATTAAAAAGTAATATTAAACAGTTGTGCTTCTTATATTTTAACTTAAAACATTTTTAATATATTGTGGGAGATAGAAGGGTAGAAAAATGTAATCTCAATTGTAACTATTTTATCAAGATTTGTAATTGAAGAATAAAAAGCAACATGATACAAATGATAATTATTGTTTTATTAAAATATCAACTGTTAATAACATAGAAACACTAAGAACTCAAGGCCTAGTAAATAATAAGGACTTTTGCAATTAAAAATGTTCCATTTCCCTAGGATAAACCACTACAAATTGGAAAAAAAAAATAAAGATAAAACTAAAATGAAAAGATTTAATGTTATAAAATTGAGATAGTCTCAAATTTAATTTCATCAATTGAAAGAGTTTTAAAACTCCAATTTACAAAATATTGGAGCCCATTTTTTCAAACTAGATTGCATAAAAAATGTAGTTTGTACTGTAAAAATGTGAAATTACCTTTAGATAAAATATATATTTTGGTGTAAGATAGATTCAAAAACATGTTTTCCAATATATAATGCAAAAAACTTTGACACTAGTGAACTCTAATCTAATTAAAAAATACAACTTACATTTATTTAAAATATCTTTATCCTAAAAATAATTACAAAAGAAAATCATGCCATATAGATTTAAAATAAAAATTCAAATGTTGTGCAATACGTGGGTTAAAATAACTAAATAAGAAATTAATAAGAGTATTATTTAATTTTATTTGTTATTTGATCATAATTCTAAAGGGGAAAATGATGTGTGCACGCTTGAATTCAACACTCGGAAGTGCACACTCCGCATAAAAAAAAAAAAAGATCTGGGTGCACACTATTTTTTTTTTTATGTGGGGGGTGCACACCTAGGTGTTGGATCCGGGTGTGCACCAATCATGATCCTTCTAAAGGAATTAAAATGCAAAATCTTGAAGGAATTTATGTTCTTATTTAACTTTAGTCCTTTAATCAAAAGAAAAAAAAATATTATATGAATCACTAATTGAGATGATAGTAAAGAAATTTCGTTTGGATTATGAGATATAGATTAATATTGAATGTTTCTTAACTTTTCTTTACCAAAAATAATCTTAAACCCAACCTTAATCATTTAGTTAAAATTTTTTTACTAAAAACTCCTTATAAAATTCAAGAATTAATAAGAAATAATATAGAATGTAAGTTTTAATATAAAAATTGAAAAATAACCTGTGCAACTCGTGAAAAAA